CTCTTCATGAAGTTGAGGATGGCTATTGTTGTCATCATGCAAGATCCTCCCTAACACATTTTTATATGCCTGAGAAGATGCTAACACATGCAATGGAGATTCACTTGTTTCAGCACTATTTTTGAAAAACTTTTGTGTGGCAGTTAGGCTTGGCATCTAAACTTAATACTTAGAAGTAAAAATATGGTAATAGCCTTGATTTGGTTGTCAGGTACTGCAAGCATACTTTGATAAACCATATTGTGTGCTATGGTGATATACAACAATGAAATGTAAATAAGAAACAATAAATTGAAAAAAATATAAGGGGAGAAATAATGTTTAAATGATAAGTAAAGGAAAAAAGAAACAAAATATCTGCCTATTTTATACATAGAATTTGGTTGAAGAGAAGATATCATATAGGCCAAGCAATGAGAAAAGAGTATAGCTCAAAATCTAACAAAAGGAATTTCTCATGAGAAGGCAAAATGTTGTGGATATCAAAGAAGATAAAATTTTGTGTTTGGTTGGGAAGATAAGGAGAGGGTGAAAGGATTCTAAACACTTTCAATGGATATAGGATGTCAGTAAGACATAGGCAAATAAGATATACAACAAGTATGTGTTTGAAATGTATGGAAAAGTGATGGCTCTTGAGAACTAGTGATTTCAGGGGAATAAGCGAAATGAAGATTTTCTACTGATAATTCAGCCTCCAGCCCACAAACTCGAGTGGTAGGAAGCCTTTCAAGCCTCCTCTCTCTTTCTGTCTCTGTTTCTGTCTCTCTCTACCTCTGTCTCTGTGTTCTCATTTTTTGGTAATTTTTTCTTTCTAAAAATTTTTAAGAAAGATTTTTTAAGGTAAAGCATTTTCTTGGCTTTCAGTCCCTCCCTTTTCTTTATCTTGTTAATAAGCCCCCCCCCCAACCCAGGAGAGGCAAAGGAGCAAGACTTCAGAAGCGACTTTCATGGCTCCTGAGAACTAGTGATTTCTAATTTTTGCTTTATTAAAAAAAAACATAATTTTTTAAAGTTTTTTTCTTCTCTTTTTCTCCGTTTCTTGGTTGGTTTTGTTGCTGTTGTTTCTCTCTTTCTGTTTTCTTTTCTGCACGCTTCTGGACACTCATATTGAACTTCAAGTGTGGGAAGAAGCACAGCATCCATCAGATGACTAAAAATCACCACAGGGCCACAAGAAATATGGGAAAGCAAGAAAATACCTCTCTTTAAAGGGAAAAGAGTAACTCCTCTTCATCCACAAGCAGTTCAATGCAAATCATGGAAATGTCTGATAAAGAATTTAGAACATTCATAATGGTGAAGCTAATGGAGATAGAAGAGAGGAGAAACAATAAACTGCAAAAGAGGAAGGAGAAGGGAGCTGATGAGTTCCAGGAAGTGAGGAAATTCTTGCAAGATCTGAAAGAGGAATTACAGACTTTACAAAAGAATCAGGTGGAACTGTTAGAGATGAAGGCTATAATACAGGGAGTCAAAATCTCCCTTGAAAGTATTAAAAGCAGACTAGATCATACAGAAAATAGAATCTCAGATGTAGAAGAGAAAATTACTGACCTAAAAATTCCACCACGAAGACTGAGAAAATTGCCCCAAAATTTGAGAATAATATACGATAAGTACTAGATACCATCAAACATCCAAGCATCTGGATAATTGGCATCCCAGAAGGTGAGAAGACTGATAAGGGCATTGATAATCTAGTCCATGAAGTCCTGCAAGAAAAATTTCCAAACCTAGAGAGGCACTCAATGATCCAATCCCAAGAAATACAGAAGATCCCAAATAGCATTAACCCAAGAAGATCTTCTCCAATAGCCAGACTGATCAAAACCATAGACAAAAAAAGATACTAAGATTGGCAAGAGAGAAACGGTAAGTTACCTCAAAAGATATTCCATCAGACTAACAGCAGACCTCTTATCAGAAACAATGCGAGCAAGGTAAGAGTGGGAAAATATATTCAAAGTGTTAAGGGAAAAGCAATTTCAACCAAGAATTCTGTACCTGGTAAGACTGTCCTTCATATGGGAAGAAAAGTCAAGAACATTCTCAGATTAATAAAACCTGAAAGAATTTACCAGCCTCAGACCAGATCTCCAAGAAGTTCTCAAGGAAGTGCTATGTCAGGAAAATTAAATGCAAATACACAGAAATAAGAGTTCAAAAACTAAGAAAAGGGCCAACTTAATTGTAGGGACAAGTCTGGAGTTGAATATTATATCCCAGAATTCAATTGGGAAGATCAAACCACAACAGAAGATAGATTAAGTACATGAGACTGAACTGGTGAAATAGCATTCTGTGACTTTTGACAAAAATATTGCTGCTTTTCTTCTAGGCTTTGTGTCTGGTTTTAAGAGTTTTTGTCCTGTCTTCAGCTGTCAATAGGTTCATGTACCTACTGTTTGAATAGAATGCTAACCTGTTTCCAGGCTTTAAGTTTTAAGCAAATTTCCTTACCAATTCAAAACTGAACTAGAAATGGAAAATTATTGATGATAACATGCATGATTAAGCCACTATGCAGTATATTCTGGATGGGAAGCCACATTTTGTATGCCGCGACGATGCTTAGGGGATGAATGTAAATTAATTAATTAAAAAAAGTTTCAGGGGAAAACCATGAAAATGTTTTTTTTTTTTTTGAAATTAAAAACAATGCATATTTGATGACTACAGTAAGCTATATAGCCCCAGCTAGGTGCTTTTTTATAGTATGTTCATTCTACTCACTGAGTTTTATGCCTAAAGTCAGACTTGTGTTCATGGATATGTATATATCAGCTGCACTTGCTATTGGAAATATTTAGATTAAGTTCATTAGCAAATCAATAAAAAGGGGGGTAAAAGGCATAGAAAGCAACCATAAACCATGGATACCAGAGACAGTGTGGAAGGGTGGTATACGGCAGAGGGTGAGAGATAGGGAATCAAGGATGGCAACACAAAAAAGCACAAAATATACAGGAAACAAGAAATGGAAAATTATTTGTTGATGATAACACATATGTTGATGTGCTTGATTGAGCCAATATACAGTGTATTCTGGATGAGAAATCTCATTTTGTATAATGTAATGATGTATAGTGAATGAATGTAAATAAATAAATTTAAAATTAAAAAAGATTAAAAAAATATGGAAAAGTATGAGCAGAGGTAAAGAGGGGAAAAATCTAATCTATGGTGGGCAGAGTAGGAGAGAAGAGAAGTTTGCTTTTCTTGACACAAGAATTAACAAGGGTTAACATCAGAATGATGAAGTCCTGCCAGAGTTTAGGAGTAGGAGCTGGAGAAATTAAAGTAGCAAAATGAAAGAATTCAATGCAGGGATGTATTCTGGAGTTCAGCCTTTCCCAGGGCAAATAAAGCTTAATACATATGTGACCCTCTGAGGAATTATGACGAATGTATCTCATTCTGTGTAATGGAAGATTATAGTTATTTTCTAATGGCTTCTATCCTCCATTGGCCAAGGATTCCTCCTTTCCCCACAAGTGGCTGCCTTTCACTGCCAGATTTGTGTACATGTGATTGCCAAGCAAGTTCTTGCAAGTTTTCTTCCTCAGTGTGTCCAAAGAGCTTAGAGCTTGGAGAGAGGGGCTTTGTGAGGCTGACATGAAGTACTGCCAGATAACATCTTCTCAAAGCTGGTTGGACAGCAATGATTGGAGTAAAACGTATGTTAAGAGGATTTAAGGTGAGGTTCAAAGAGTATCCTGTACAGAATCGTGGGCCATGAAGCAGCAGGAGGTAATGCCAGAGGGAGAACACTGGGGCAGAGCAAGCAAGGCTGAGAAATTTGAACTTAGCATTGGTTACCTGTTGCAAGATCTGGTACCCATACTGATTATATGCAAAGAACAATGTCTCCTGAGGGAAAAAAGTCTATCATACTTATTTTCATGTTTAGATAAAATAGCATATTGCAGTCTACATGTCCTTGGTTAGTAAATTTGCAGGTTACATCACAGGCTTTAACCAGATGAACCCTTACAAAATAGGCTACTGATTTTAAAATATTTCCAGAATGAAACTGTAAGTTGATTCTACACTTGGTTCTAAGGAGTTGACTGAAAGATATTAAAATTGATATAAATGATTCTTTGATATCTGAATTAATTCACATTCACCATGGTTAATAATTAATTTTAACCAAAGTATAAACTGTGTGTCAAATTATTACCTAATGCTATCATGAATCCACTGAGAAAAGGAAGACATGTAATATTTTATTTTCACATGAAATTCATCATTTAGATATGCATTTTTTGGGTTTGTATCATAACATTTATATAGAATTAATAAACGATATTATTCCATTGATAGGGTCACCAGAATCCACATCTAGGGCAAGGATTGGCAGAACAATTATGAAGGGGATTGTATGCAGAAACATTGGGAATTGGTTTACCTGGACTTGGCAGCTGAGTGGATGGTGGATCAAGATCAGAAAAGAATAAAGAATGACTCTTTGGTTTCATTCTATTGTTATGTTCAAGTGGAGACATGGTGCAGAAATCAATGTCTGGAGGTAGAAGGATTTTAGGTGACAAGAATGTGGTGGGCTATGGATGGGCTGAATAGCTGATAAATTCATAAGTGCAGGATGGTCCCTTAATATGACTTATTGTGTTTTCTTTTTTTTTATTTTAAAAATTTTGTTTACAGAGATTTTTTGCTATAGAACACGTGTGCTCGCCAGACAGAGACAGAGACAGCTACAGCGACAGCGAGAAATCACTCCCCAGGGAGGGTGGCCATGTGGCAATCCTCTTCTCCATTTTCCTCTTGGGATTTTAGGCATGCATGCACATGTGCCCAGTGTGAGTTTCAAGATGCTGGGTCCAGGACTTGAACTGTGGTCAACTATGTGGGAGTCCAGCAATGTAACCATTATGCCATCTGCTGGTCCTGACTTATCTTGTTTTCGTACAGAGGGGTCTCTCAACAGTTCAATTTTCCATCTTGGAGTTAGCCATCCACAGTTCAGGCTAGATTTAATTGTCAGAGTCTAAATAGAAGTTAGTCTTTTTATTTGTGCCCCTCTCCTGGGTGAGAATGACAGGCTCTTTTGGCGTGGAGGAGGTGGCTATGAACCAGCCAGGGTAGGCGACTGACTGAAAGACAGAGGTGGAGCCTTCTTTATTGCGGAAAAAGAGAAAGGGCTTCTCCGCTTTGTTCTGTCGGTAGAGATCCATGATATTTTTCTCCTAGGAGTGAGAAATAGACTTGTTAGATAGGAGGACTAATAGCAATAGGAATGACTGTATTCCCTAGAGATAGAAGCTGGAGGCATAGACAAATGAGAGGAGGCCATTGGGCTGCTAAAAAGGACCACAGATTTCCAATAGCCTGGCTCCACCCGTGAGTGGCATCTCTGTCCCCATGGAATAGAGGGAGGTTCGAACTCTTTTTTTGGGTGTTCCTGGTATATACTCATCAGCAGGCCCAGACCAGCCGTACTTGGTTCCAACATCCCATGGGTTTATACAGTACAGCTTCCATCATTAACTGAAGGATTATCTTCATAACTACAAATCCTGCTCTTAGTACATCAACAGATAAGTAGTCTTCAAGTCCAGACTAAAAATTCTTTCCATTCATCTCTTGTGCCATACAGTGACCTTTGCTTAAGTGGGAGCATTTATCTCAGAGGATAAATCAGGCTTGAGCATGAAGAAGTCACCCTACCCTAGCTTTTCAGAAATATTTTTATGGGTGTGTTCTTTGGTTTTCAGAGGACCCATGCTCTTTTATTAAAATAAATGTCATACCCTTTCAAAAGGCAGCATTAACTGATTTGAGGAACACCAGGGCAGGTTTTCTTCCTTGCAATGAATGATCCAAGATTGCAAGGATATTATTTTTATTCAGTAACGTATGAATGAAGTAAAAAGTCCATTTAACAGTACTTCTCTCACCAGCTGCATGAAAACTCACCTTAAGTTGCAAAGTAGGCTTGCCCTGAACATCTGCGCAGAAGAGACAGATATTTTTGTCCTTGATTGCCAGGTAAACTAGGTTACCTTTTTTTTCATCACGAAATTCTTCATCTGTACAGTCTATGATATCCAGAGCGACTGGGAATACAAGGAAAATGGAAATGTTTTCAGGTTCCAGACAGCGAGAAGTTTAGTTTTTCTGGTCTGGCACTCAGTTCTCTCCCTAAGGGGATGCTGAGAATCCTAGATTTTCCTACAGACCTCTACCACTTAATCATATGGCAGACGTGGTTGAGACCCCTCTCTTGTGGTCTGAAAACCTGTTTCCTTTCCTTCCTTACTATAAGAACCTAAATTGTTAAACCAGGGCATAGTATTTCCTAAAGTAAAAATAAAATTTCCCACCATATTTGCTGTTAAATATGGCCATATACTTAAACAGTAGACCCTAAGTTATAAGTGAAAGTGTTGTGTGGGATTTCCAGGAGTTGACTGAGCGAAGAGGAGCTACTTTTTTGTAACTCTTTTATCTTACTGCCCACCTCAAACACTTAGGTGATGGTTCAGGTGACTTTGAGGCTAGGGAGGCAGAAGAGAGAATCCTCGGCCTCTGGTGGGATCATGTAGAGAACCTACCAGCCTGGGTTTTCCACTAAGGCTTCTTCACACAATAACAAACAAACAAAGAATTCTGTCCTATTTAAGTAATGGTTATGTGTATGTTCTCTCACTAAGAGCTTTAATTCTGATCTATTGGGTCATTGAGAAAGTCATGATACATTTTTGCATAGAAAAACATAGAAACATATGTCATGACTTTCCCAATGATGTGATAATTTAGTGGAGGAGTTACAGGAGTGGTACTGGCCCTGAAGTTTAGTGGTTAAAGGAGCTGCATTCCACACAGCCAATTGTGGTTGAAATCCAGGGCATGTGCACATGTGTGCCTCAAATCTTGAAGGGATAGAGAAATGGAGGAAAAAGAATTGTCATGTGACTGTGTTCCACTAAGCAGTGCTTTCTCTCGTGTGCACGTGTGTGCATGAGCGCATGCACCCTCTGGCAAAACAAACAAACAAATGGAAACCAAAACAAAACGAAAACTAAAATGTTCACAGGCATTTGAATGTTTTGCTTCTATACTCTTGGCATGGAATGAATCCGATGACAAGATAATTTTGTTTGTTTGTCTACTCAGAACAAGGCACTATCTGGTCACTGGAAATTTAGCTGAGGACAAGAGAGACAACATTACCCACATGGAACACATAATCTCATGACAGGAGAGAGATGTAAACAGAGAAATGACTGAAACCATAGTGAAATGCAATACTTACATTGGGGAAAGTGAGGAAAGCCTGGGACAGTAGGAAAGAGACCAGATTCAGCTAGAGAAATTAAGAAATACCTATCAGCAGAGGTGAAATGGAAACCAAGAACCTAAAGCTAACAGAAACCTACTACATGAAGAGATGGGAGTAACATGGTAGAGTGGTTTTAGAGGGAGAGTGCTACAGAGAAAGGAAAGGTTTATGTGAGGGTCTTCATAAGTTCAAGGTTCTAAGAGGAGACTGGTGCCATGAGGTCTGCCTGGGTGTTTTTGTCCCCCCACCCACAAACAAACACATGGGCAAGGTATTAGTCAGTGAACCTGGAAAGAGGGCAGTTCTTGATCCTCTGTGAAGAATGGAGAGGAGGCTCCATAAATGAAGCAGGAGGGAGGACAATGAGGAAGGGGTGGCAGGGGTGCAGGTGGGGAGTTGATATCATCTTGTTAGTAAATCATAGTTTGCACATGAACTCATCAGTCCTTGCTAACGAGCTGGATGGAGAGCAGATAAGAGGAGAAATTAAGGATGCCTCCCATATGTTTGGCTCTAGCAAATGAAGTGGATGGTAATGCTGTTAACAGAGACTGTTAGCAGTTTTGAGAAAGAAGGAAGACCTATAGTTCCATCTGAGATACAGAAGTCAGAGATGTCTGAGGATGTGAGTCAGTTGGGCAGAGGATATGTGTCAGAAACATGAATGCTGGAGAATGAGCATAGAGCTTCAGGCCAAGAGAGCAGCTCACGTCCCTAATTAGCTTATATAATGACAGCAGACTGAACTCTGAGGAACCCCATTATCTGGAGATTTCAGAGAGAAAGTGGAGTCATAAAGGAAAATACAAATTAGGAAGCACTAAACCACAGGAGAATGAATATTCTTACAGAAAAAGAAGAAGGAATGTGATAAAGAAGGGAAGTTATCAACTGTGGTAATTGCAGCAGCGGGGTCAAATAATATGACAATATGCTTCCTATTATTGTTAGGAAGTGTCCTTTGGTTTTGGGTTCTGGAAGGCCATTGGTAACCTGGGAAATAGCTTCAAAGGAACAGTCAGTTATCAGTTGAGAGGTTAGAGTGCTGTGATGTAAGGGTGAGTAGAAGTGAAGAAGAGGCAAATTCTGCAGCCAACTCTCCCTGGAAGAGTTTGGTTATGGTTGCAACAGGAAAATGGAAAGGTAGTAGGAGTAGAATGTGCAAACCAAGGGAAGGTTTTTAGTGTGATGGATGGAGGTGCTATTTTATAGCATTTTTGCCAGATCCAGTAGACAGACAGAGGTGAAATATGCTGGGAAGAGAGAAATTAAATTCCTCTCTTACAGTTCTGGAGAAAGGGAGAGAAGCTGCAATGGACTGATTTTTGATGTGGGAGGGATTATTCACCTATTGAGAGAAAAGAAGATGCCAAGGGAGAAAGGTATGTAGGTTTAGTGATAGAAAGATGAGAGAGGTTGAGATTGAGGACATAGGTAAGTGATAGCTAGCACATAAAGAAGAAAACTGTGAGGAGAAGGTCAATTGTTGCTTGGAAAGATAACTCAGAATCTAATAGTGTGTGTGTGTGTGTGTGTGCATGCACATGCATGTGTGTTTTCTGGTAAAGGGAGCTGGCAATGCCTTACACCCTCATTTCTAGGTATATGTTTGTCTGTGTGGAAGAAAGCACCTTGCTCTTCCTTTCCCTTCCTCTGGACACTGGGTTGGTGCCCAGAAGTTTGTGAGATTCAGGGCCATGCTCCTATGGTCTAAGTCTTAACCCCAGTGCAGCTAGTGTCCCTTCAAGAAGAACCAGTAGCTTAGATTGTCACTCACCAGGCTTGACACTGTTGGTAAGTGGAGCCGCTGTTAAAGAAAGTCCATTCAGGACCCACACCATCTGCTGGGAATCACGAATCCTGAAAGAGTCAGGATATTTCCTGGCTGACCGATGACAGAAAAACATAAATACATGTGAGTTTATTAACTTCAGGACTCTGATTGCATCCTGGTAATAATGGCTTTGTTTTTCCATGCAGTATCATAATTATTTAATTAGGAAGACCATTTCACCCACTGCTCTACCAGTCTTGTCTTTCTCTGCAGCAATGGTGAGTAGATACCTTTTGCTCAGGGAAGAGAAATCCATGGCTTATTGCCTTTGCCAGTAACAAAAAATTTTGGAGAGTCGAGCAGCAAAGCAGATGCCATTGGTATCTTTCACTTGAACAGCATTGAAAGAGCGAGGATGTCTCTCTGTTGGTGGTCGCACCAATTCTTCCCAGGTCAGCACCTCCAGTTACCATACACAGGTTACCAGGGTCAAACTTGATGAAGTCATTAATCTTGCCAGGCTCTGAATTAATCTGAATGGTGTTGTTCACCTTGATGAGAGGATCTGGATAGTAGATGATGTGAGCATTATGGGTCACCAGGTGAGGGATTCTTTTGTGCCCACAAAGATTTTTCTCACTTTGCATAACTTGTACTTGGCCTTCTCAGGTGTAATACAATGGACAGCAAAGTGACCCTGGGTCAGCAAAGTGACCATAGATCAGATGGAAATTCTCTCTGATCTTGTCAATGTTGATGGCATTTACAAAACCAGCAGGGTAGGTTATGTCAGTACAGACTCTGCCATAAATCGTAATAAATAACTGCATGCAGGTCATCTTCACTTCATCTCCTGCTAAGGTATCCTTAAGTCTGTCCCTTAGGAAAATGATGAGAGGAAGACATTCCCTCAGCTTGTGGGAATGAGCGGATGGATGAGGAGCAAACACACTGGTCAATTATCCAGCATCCAATGTGGTGGAGTTGCTACCTGCTTCAGATGCTTCTTAGGGCCACAAGCCATTGCTGTGCTAGGAACAGAAAGAGGGTTACCTTCTTCTGCTGTGCAAAGAAAACTGGTAATAATGGCTTCTGAATTCCTAGGAATAGGCTTACTCCTCTGATAGAGTGGATATAAGATAAAGGGTAGGTCCAGTCAGTGGTGTAGTGGCTAAGGTGGCTGGATCCCACTGTTCACCTACACGGTTCAAGTCCTGGGCTCGGCAGTTTGAGAAACATGCCAGGCACATGTATGTGCATGCCCAAAATCTGAAAAGGAGAGATGGAAGAGAAAAGGTTGCAGTGTGACTATCTCCCATGCAGGGAGAGGGGAGGTGCTTTCTCATTGTGCGCTCTTTCCTCCCTCTCTCTCTCTCTCTCTCTCTCTCTTTCTTTCTCTTCTTTCCTTTGCACATGCCCTCTAGCAAATTAGAAACCGAGATAAAGAAAACCATAAGGCAGGGGCTAGTTTGTGGGTCAAAGCATCTGAACTTATCTGTACCCATTCACCAAGAGAGTTTCAAGATTCATTTTTTTTTTTTCTAACAAAATTAGTGACATGGCTTTTCCTGACTGATAAAGCTTCTGGCTAGTAACAAATACCCCATATTTAAACAGATGATCAGTATGCTATTTTTCTCTTTATCCTTTTTATTCAATAAACAAGCAATTATAAATACAGATAATAAAAGGTCTAAGTGCCTTAGATTTTGAAACACAGATTTCTGGGTATTTTTTTTTAAACCAGTTTTAAGTTCACTGCTCATTGCCAGTAAATATATTCACATGGTTGTACATCACCACCATCCAGCTCCTCCCCTGGCCCCTGGTAGCCGCCATTCTACTCCTTGAGTCACCTCATGAATGGAATCTTGCAGTATTTGTCCTTTTGTGATGGTTGTATTTTACTCAGCACAGTGTTCTCAAGGTTCATGCATATTGCACCTTGTGCAAAAAAATTTTTTCTGGGGATATTTTGATCAGTTACTTTGATTGAAAGGTAATTTAATAAAATAATCTTGTTTATACTCTCTAGTTTCTTTCAAATAACTGCCTCATCAAATTAGTTATTTATTTTTATTTTTAATTCATTTTATTTTTATCCTTCTTTTTTTTTTTTTCACTATAGGGCGCGTGCGCTCGCCAGACAGACAGAGAGAGACATAGAGACAGAAAGCGAGAAATCACCCCCCAGGGGGGATGGTCACGCCGCAATCCCTTCTCCTCCATTCTCCTCCCGGGATCTTGGGCACGCACGCACATGCGCCCGGCGTGAGTTTTAAGCCACCGGGTCCGGGACGCGAACCACGGTCGACTGCGTGGGAGTCCAGCGACATAGCCATTACACTAACTGCTGGTTCCCTCCTTCTTCTTTTTGTAAACATTTGATCACTATACATAATTTGGCTTGTAAAGAGAATTTACCCAATATAAATTTATGATTCCAGACAAATTCTTTTTTTTTTTTTTTGATAGGTTTTTGTTACAGGGCGTGTGCGCTCGCCAGAAATACAGAGAGAGGGTGAAAGAAAGCGAGAAATCATCCCTAGGGGGTGAAGGCCATGCTGCAATCCCTTCTCCTCCATTCTCCTCTTGGCATCTTGGGCACGTACACGTGCCTGGCGTGAGTTTAAGTCATCAGGTTTGGGCCTCTAACCATAGTCAACTACATGGGAGTCCAGCGACATAGCCATTACGCCAACTGCTGGTCCTGATTCCAGACAAATTCTATGATTGTCTTTTCTAGATCTGTGAAGAATGTCACTGGTCATTTAATTAGAATTGCATTAAATGTGTAGATTAATGTAGGTAGAATTGCCATTTTGATTTTATTAATTCTTCTAATCTTGGAACATGGAATGTTCTCCTACTTTTTTTTGTGTCATTTTCAGTATCTTTGAAAAGATTTTCATAGTTTACTTTGTAAAGGTCTTTGACTTCCTTAGTTAGGTTTACCCCTAGGTATCTTATACATATACATTTTGTGGTTATGATAAAAGGGATTCCTTTCATCAGTTCTATCTCATTCAACTTGTTATATGTATATAGAAATGCTATAGATTTTTGGATGCTGATTTTGTATACTGCCACTTTAATGTATTCATTTACTACTTCGAGAAATTTTTTCATGGGAACATTTGGGTCTTCTAAGTATACCATCATGTCATCTGCAAATAAAGAGATTTTCAACTCTTCTTTGCCTATTTGAGTGCCTTTTATATTATTCTCTGTTCTGATTGCATTGGGTAAGACTTCTTGCACTATACTGAAAAGAAGTGGAGAAAGTGGGCAGCCTTGTTTAGTACCAGTTTTTAGTGGAAAAACTTTTAGCTTTTCCCCATTCAGTATATTAGCTAGCTTTACTGTGTTGAGAAATGGCCCTTCTATCTAATCTTGCTAAGAGTCCTAATCATGAAGGGATGTTGTATTTTGTTGAATGTTTTCTCTGCATCAGTTGACATGATCATATGGTTTTTCTTTCTTTCTGTTAATATGGTGTATCATGCTTATTGTCTTATGTGTGTTGAACCACCCTTGCATCCCTGGAATAAGGCTTACCTGGTCGTGATGAATAATCTTTTTTATATATTGTTGGATATGACTTGCAAGAATCTTGTTGAGAATCTTTTCATCTATATTCATCAGAGATATTGGTCTGTTTTCCTTTTTTTTTTTTGTCATGTCTTTATCTGTTTTGGGAATGAGGATGATGGAGGTTTCATAAAATGAATTTTGGAAGTTTCTTCCTTTTGCATCTTTAGAAATAATTTGAGCAGAATGGGGGTTAACTCTTCCTTAAGAGTTTTATAAAATTCAGAAGTAAAGCTATCAGGACCTGGGCTTTATTTATTTATTTATTTTATCAGAAGATTATGTATTACTGGTTCAATCTCCTGGTTGTTATGGATCTATTCAGGCTTTCTCTGTTCTCCTGATTCAATCTTGGCAGATTATATGCATGCAGAAATGTGTCCATCTCCTCTATGTTCTCTCATTTGTTGGCATATAGTCAGTCACTCATAGTATCCTCTAATGATGATTTGTATTTCTAATGTGTCTGTAGTAATGTTGCCTGTTTCATTACATATTTGATTTATCTAGTTTCTTTCTTTCTTCTTTTTAATCAGTCTAGCTAATGATGTGTCAATCTTGTTAATCTTTTCGAAGAATCGGCTTTTGGTTTCATTTCTTTTTTGTATAGTTTAGTTTCTATTTCATTTATTCTCTCAAATATTTATTATTTCTTTTTGCCTGGCACATTTCTTGTTGTTGTTTTTCCAATTCCATGAGGCATGATATTAGGTTGCCTATTTGCCACCCTTCCATCTTTTTCTTATGAGCACTTATTACTATGAATTTCCATTTTATGACTGCTTTTGTGGTGTCCCATATATTATGGAAACTCTTGTACTCATTATAATTTATTTACATAAAATTTTTGATTTCAGATTTAATTTCTTCAGTAGTTGAGAAGTCATTCAGAAGAAGGTTGTTTAGTTTCCATGTGTTTGTGTATTTTTGAGGATTTTTTTCCTGATTAATATCAAGTTTAATTCCTTATGGTCATAGAAGATGCTGGATATAGTTTCTATGCCTTTGAGTCTGTAAAGGCTTGATTTGTGTCCTATCATATGGTCATTCTTTGAAAAGGTTCAATGAGGGGGTGAGAAAAATGTATGTTCTGTGGTCTTAGGATGGAAAGTTCTATAGATATCTGTCAAGCCCATGTGATTTACAGTGTCATTTAGATCCTATATCTCTCTGCTTATTTTTTGTCTAGAAGTTCTGTTTAAAGGGGATGTTGAGATCCCCAACAATTACAGTGTTGCAATCTACCTTTCCATTTAGCTCTAGCAATCTTTCCTTCACACATTTAGGTGCTCCTGAGTTGGCTGCATAATTTATAAGCGTTATGTCTTCTTGATGAATTAGCCCATTTACTCCTATGTAATATCCTTCTTTGTCTCTTGCTAGAGTTTTTGTCTTAAAGTCTGTTTTGTCTGAAATCAGTATCGCGACTCCAGCCCTTTTTTAAATTTCTGTTTGCATGGAATACCTTTTTCTAGCCCTTCACTTTTAGTCTATGTATGTCTTTCTCCATAAGATGTGTTTCTTGTAAGCAACAGATAGAGGGTTTCTGTTTTCTTATCCATTCAGCCAGTCTGTGTCTCTTGTTAGGAGAATTAATCCAGTAATGTTAAATGTTATTACTGACATTTCCAAACATATTCCTATTATTAATGAGTCATTTTATTTTTTTTCTCTTATGTCTGTCTGATGCTAGTTTTCCTGGTATAGCACTCTCTTCAGAACTTCTTGAAGAGCTGGTCTGGAGCTACTGAATTATTTTATATATATATATATTTTTTTTTTTTTTTTGAGAGGTTTTTGCTATAGTACAGAGAGAGACAGAGAGACAGAAAGTGAGAAATCAGCCCCCCCTCCAGGGGAGGTGGCCATGCCTCAATCCTTTCTCCTCCATTCTCCTCTTGGGATCTTGGGCACGCATGCACATGCACCCGGCGTGAGTTTTAAGCCACCGGGTCCGGGACTTGAACCACGGTTGACTACATGGGAGTCCAGCGACACAGCCATTACGCTAACTGCTGGTCCTTATTTTAGATTTTTTGTTTTTGAGAGGTTTTCACTATAGGGCGCGTGCTCTCGCCAGACAGACAGAGAGAGACATAGAGACAGAAAGCGAGAAATCACCTCCCAGGGGGGATGGTTACGCCACAATCCCTTCTCCAGTTTCCTCTCGGGATCTTGGGCATGCACGCACACGCGCCCAGCGTGAGTTTTAAGCCACCGGGTCCGGGACTTGAACCACGGTTGACTACATGGGAGTCCAGCGACACAGCCATTACGCTAACTGCTGGTTCCCTAGATTTTTTTTTTTCATCTGAGAATGTTTTTATCTTTTTTTTTTCCCCGTATAAAGGATAATTTTGCTGGTTATAGTAATCTTGGTTGACATTGTTTTTCATTTAACACTTTGACTATATTTCCCCATTCTTTTTTTGCCTGTGTAGTTTCCAACAAGAGGTCTGATGCTAACCTGATAGGATAAGCTTTGTAAGTCACTTGATGTTTCTCTATTGCCAATTTTAGTAACTTATATTTGTCCATGGTTTTGGCCAATCTGGCTATGTGTGCCTTGGAGATCTTCTTAGAATGATTCTATTTAGGGTCCTTTGTATTTCTTGGGTCTGGATATTTGAATGCCTTTCTAGGTTTGGAAAGTTTTCTTGGAGGATTTCATGGAATAAATGATCAATGCCCTTATTATTTTCTTCACCTTCTGGAATACCAATTATCCTGATGTTTGGGCCCTTAATGGTATTGAATATTTCTTGTATATTGTCCTCACTTTTCTTGGTTATTTTCTCAGTCTTCTTGATAAATTTTTCCAAGTCAGAGATTTTGTCTTTCACTTTTGAGATTCGATCTTCTACATGATCTAATCTGCTTTTAATACTTTAAAGGTAGGTTTTAATTTCCTGTATCACAGTCTTCATCTCTAACACTTCGGTTTGATTCTTTTTTTTATGGTGCCCATTTTTTCTTTCAAATTGTGAAAAGACTTCCTCATCTCCTGGAACTCATTGGCTCTTTTCTCTTGCATCTCATTTAGTTTTGTCACTATAAATACTCTGAATTGTTTATATGACATTTCCACAAGTTTCATTGTGTTGTCTGTGGATTATGAGGAATTGATGTTTTCTCTTGGGCAGAGATACTTTGTTGGTTGCTCATATTTCTTGTGCCTCTGTGATGGTTTCTAGTCATCTGATGATTTATACATTCCTTCCTAATTTCTTCAAGTTAATTCAGAGCATTCAAAGATGTGTGGTAGTAGGTAATCGGTGACCTCTCTACTTCTCTACTTCTCTGATGCTCATCAGCAACCTGCACTGTTGTCATTTGTCTTGGAAGATTCAAAGTCCAGCCTGGGACTAGAGAACAGGTGCCCTTGAACTGAGCTGATAAGTTTTAATTCAGGAAGAAGGAATTCAGAGGCATGTGGCAGGGGATAAGCCAGAGTCTCTTTATATCTCAGTCTCCCTGAACAGGAATGGATGTCCAGCTAGGTCAGGGAGG